GATCCTGACATGGCCAGGCTTGAACTCAGACCAGACACCGGCTCGTCTGCACACTCTTACGGCACGGTTGAGAAACCTAGATTTGCAAGTGGCAGGGGAAGTGCCAGCCAGCTTCTTCGAAAGCTGACAAGGAGGAGTTCTAGTCCTGTCAAGACACCGGAACAACAAAGGATTGCGACGAAGACACCCCTGACAGCCAAAACTCCTGTTGTTACCGGGGCTTGGATTGACACTCCAGTCACGGAACGATCAAAGACGCCTCATATAGAGAATATTGAAAAGGAGGAGCGAGTGCCAGAGGCAGAGCCAAAACCAGTAGAAGATATCCCGAAAGCCAATAAAGCCAGTGACTCCAGACAGCGTGACCTACAGATTGGACAGCGGAAATCCACTTCTCGGCCTATGCCGTTGAAGAAACCGAAACTTCCCAAAAGTGCTTTGGAATCGATTCTTGAAAAGGAAAGATCCGGAGACTATAGCCTTATCCTTGGAGAGAATACCCTCGACTCTCTCAAGGATATCCTTGAGGATAAACCGTTTAGTGAGCAGTCCGGAGATGAACAGGTCAAGTCAGAGCCGTCACTAAGCTCTTTTCACGTTGACACCGATGAAGAAACTCTTGACCGAGTCAATTCGAAGCTAAAATCGCTCCTTCATAACATAAATGAAGCTAGAGCTGGTTTGTCCAGCCTTGAGCACCAGGCGGAAGAAACAATCGCCCGGCCTGGCTCAGGAGGTTTCAAGAATAAAAGCTCGAGAATAAGACACCATAATCACTCTACAGCCCCATGCGAAGCGTGCGGCCTGTATGGCGATGGCCGCCTATATCTTGCCCTTCCCAGCCCCCGTTTCTGGAAGCGGATTGGCTTTGTCTTCTTGATATTTTTCACTTGGTGGATTGCCGAACTAGTGATGTGCGATTACTACTGCCACCCCTTATACGCATCCAAATGTGAGCGTAATTGTCTGAATCCCAATGCGCCACGATACCCATTTGTTATTCCTACCATGTTATGGCGTTGGTCTCATCTATCTGTTGTCCTGTCACCATTATGGACCATCTTTATTGCATTGTTCCGCCTTACGGCGCAACTCTTTGGCTTTTGGGATGGATTTGTTGACAACTCAAATTCGGTATACCGGCCACGAAGCTACGAGCATTACCAGCCTCCTATATCTGTTGCTTACCAGCCAAGTGCTGCAGTGTATGACCAGAGTGACAGTATGCAGGGTGATGAGTATCTATGACTTGGCGTTTTGTCATGCATAATGGTCTATTGTTCCCTCTTTTTGTTTTGTACTTTTATCATTTTAGGCAAGGTATTCTGGATTGCCTGGAGTTTTGAGCTCATAGAGTACGGAATTATATATATGAAATGATCATTTCGCTCTAGCGTATAGTAGTCAGATTATTAAGGCTATCATGTACTATGATTGTTTAGATATATGGTTCATTATTCGTTCGTAGGCTGTAGATTGATTCTTTGTGTTTGTTGTATTTCTGCTGGATCGGTTTTGGTGTAGTGTATCGAAAAGACAAATAGCCGGATGGTGGAATAGCCAACATATATAGAATCGTAGGAACTCAGACGTAGGAACCAGTGCCTGCACAGTTAGAATGAATGCAAGAAGATACTTAGGAGTCCAGTTCCTGTTCCTTCCACGCCTTCTGCAGCAAATGTTCTCCATCAATACGCCAATCTCTGCCAGCCTTGATCAATTTTTCAACTTCATCGTCCGTCAAGGTACCAATATCATCAAGGCTGCGAATATCAGTCTTTGTCAAGCTGTGGTTGAAGAATTGGGCTTCTCCGTAACCTTTCACACGGTCATGCACTGCATCGACGCAAAACTTGGCCCAGCCCTTGAGACAGCGCTGAGATTGAGGGATGTTGGGAGCAAGCAAGGCGAAACAATGTGGCATTCCTTCGTACCGCTCGAAGACAACATTGACACCGTCTCGATGGGCTTTTCTGGCCATATACATACCATCATCGTGCAAGAGCTCCTCGCCCACGGCAATGTACATTGGCGGGCCGCCCTTCCAGATACCCTTTGGACTGGCGGCCGGTGAGGTGAAGGGATGAGCCATCATGTTCGCATTTGCGTACAAGTCCACCCGTGGCGGCACCGTAGGCCACAGATGGTCTGGTGGGAAAGGCAAGGGGGTAAATATGGTGCCAGGTTTTTGTGGTGGCGGAGGAACGTAGTCATACTTTGCGTTCTCAAAGGTAGATGGCAGGGAACGGGTGATATCGCACCAAGGACTGGTCGTAGCAATGCCAGCGGGAAGATCCAGCGGTACATCTTTTCCATGGAAACGAATTGTCTTGGATGGGATAATCTCTCGTAGTGTCAGGAGGGTCTGGAGCAGTCCTAGGCAGAGGCCACCGCCAGCAGAGTCTCCGGCGAACACTATCTTCTTAGCCGGTACGGCTTCGTAAAGGGCACCTTCAGCAGGCGAGAGGAGGGATAGATATGCCACCAGCGCATCCAGGATGCCAGCCGGGAATGGATGCTGCGGGCATAGTCTATATCGTATCGAAAAGCAACGAGAGCGGCTGAGCCGTGCCAGGGCTGTCGTCGTAGAGCGATGAGTGCAAGGGTCCATCATACTGACCTGGTAGTTAGTATCTATAACTTATACACCCAAGTGTGTAATGGGCGTTGCTGGGTTTGTGCTTACTGGTATGCGCCGCCGTGGGCGTAGAAGATGGTCATGTCATCGTCCACGTCCTCCATCAGGCGCTCATACTTGTCTGCATCCGAGATATCAGGAATCGGGGTATCCTCGCTGGCGCCCTTCCTGTATCCCGTCCACTCGGCCTCAACAGCGCGCACATCAGGCATATCGAAGGTCTCTCCTCCCTCGCCGCGGTGTCTGATTGCCTTCACCAGCGCCTCGAGCACATCGTCTTCCGCCGGCTTAGGCACCGTTACATTCGAAATCCACATGTAGCCCTTGATCGTTGAATCCGTCAGCCTGACTTCGGCCATCTTCGAGACGGAGTCGTCCAGGGTGAGAAACGAGCGCACGAAGGTGACCAGCAGCTCCATCTGCACGCTCACTCTGTCCTGCACCGGCGAGAGCTGCAGCAGCCGCCGGATCGCAGTGACCAGCACGAGCGGGATGCGTACCAGGTACTGCTGGATCAGGGTCAGATTCAAGCTCGCCATGGCGGCGGTCGTTCGTATCTGTTTACTGTCGTGTGCACGATAGCTGGATATAGTGCATGAAGGATTAAGCGATGCGAGAGAACGAAGAAGAAAAGGGTCTTTAAGGGGGGGATCCCTCAGCTATAAGAGGACGGGTTATAATTTATGGCCCTAGGAAGCGGTGTTTTATATCTTCACAAGCGGGTTTTTCGCTCCCTCCTCCTATTTTGATGTGAGAACAGACGGAGCGTCGCCTCGTTAACTCAAGCCACAAACGAGTCTTTTCCTCGTCTTCTTGTCCCCTTGAAAGATTGAGGAATAACGTGGAAGCCTTTTTTTGCTTGAAGCCCGTCCGCTGTATGATGTAATTCGACGGCATTGGTGGGAAGGTGTCAGAAAAGCCGCCACAGGAAGAAGCAATATGGCCTACATATTCACATGCAAGCTGCGCTTTTTGAGGGCGACAAGTACGGAGTATAAAGAGTGAGTAGAGAACAGAAATGCATTGAAATAGAGCCGTTGTAACGCCGGGATATGTAGCTATGGAGAATTTCTAGACCAAAAAAATATGATGCAAAAAGGGGGAGACTTCAACGATCCCCATGGTACGGCTCGATATTATGGCTAGAGCCTCCCAGGTGTCTTCGATACGTCTCTTCCTCCTCCTCTTTCAACCCGTAGCCAGACGGATCTCGTCTCTTTAGGAAATGCTGCACCCTTTCGTCCACAGACTCCAGCTCAGTGACAGTCTGGTGCCTTCGTCCCTCCAGAAAGCGGTTACACTCCCGGTTAACCTGCTTGACCCGTTCGTCAACGAAGCTGGAGTATTTTCCTATACTCACGGCCTGAGCCACCCCTCCGAATATGGCCAACAGGACGAAGAGCGAGGCAAACGTCTCGTGCGAGGCACCCGTGGACTGCTGCTGCTTCTGGTACTTCCCGTTGCCCTGGCCATGGTATTGCTCCCAGTCCTCCCAGCTTGCGTTCCTGAAGATGGTAGGATCTACCTTTCTCCGTCTGGAATAATATGCGTCCATAGCACTCTTCGCTGCCGGCCCCTGGGTACCAAATAGCTCCTCCCTCTGGAACCAACCCCGGCCAAACTTGTCGTACTCGCTTCTCTTCGTAGGGTTCGACAGCAATTCATGGGCAGCTACCAGCAGCCGGTAGCGCTGTAGTCTGACTGACTCTGGGAGATCTTTGCAGAGGGGGTGGCCGTTACAGCCTCCGTCCGGATGGTAGATCTTGACGAGTTGGTAGAACCGCTTTTTCGAGTAAGGCGCATTTCGTTCCAGCCGGAGCAAGTCGTAAGGGGTAAAAGAAGGGGATTTCGGCCATGACAGGTCGTCTTCGGGTCCTTTAACGCCATCAGAGACTGGCCCGTGTACATGAGCAAAACGCCTGGACTGACGCCTGTACGTCGGCTGTTCGGGGCGGACAAGCGGGGAGTGCGGGCTGAGAGTCTGGAGGCCGCCGCATGAGCAAAGAAGCGTTGATTTCCTCAGCATCGGCACGATTTGGCAAGCATTTCAATCTCTAGTAGTCTCCTTAGACAGGTAAGTATGCACATGGGGACATGGGAGATCAGGCTGCACTCAACGGTCATCGATGTTGATTTAGATAAAATGAGTTGTAGCTTCTGGCAGCTTTCTTGCCTCAGCTTGAGGGTCGCATGAGGGAAGCTGCTTAGTCATCTAACATTCCGGCTATGCGGCAAATCTTGTTAGTAATCATAGTAAATTATATTGATCTGTCAGCCAATAAAACACATCTACGGTTATTAGCCACTAATCGAACGATAAATTGAGGATAATTTACTCTTATTTAATCAATTGACATTGCTCTTAGCCAAAGCATAGCCGCATCTGTAGAGGATGGTCATCCTGCGATGAGTGCTGCTTGTCCACTATTTGACCCCACCAGACGTTCTCAAACCCCTTCGCAGCTTGTTCTGCCCATACTTCTTCCAGCAGTGGTATGGTGTTGCTGAACATATGGTACCTGGTTCTCCTATCCCAGATACAGCAGAACTCCACGATTTTGCTGCGTGATGATTGATCTCTCAGTTCGCATCCTGCAAAGAAGAGCGGTAACAAGGCCTGTCTGGATACCATGCTCTTGTCACGACACGCAAAGACATGATCTGTAATGGCTCTTGCACGGTACAAAATGGGTAGTGGGACACTGCTTCCAAGCTCCCATCGAAACACCCTATATGTATAAAGGAGAAGCCCATTTCTCCATGCTTCTGAACAGTGCATCCTATCTCGATCTTGTTGCATACTCTCTTCGTTTTGGACGGCTGTCACCAGGGAAGTATGATCCCAGGACTCAAGTGAATGCTCAATTTCAAGAAGCATTGTATCGAATGTGGCGCAGAGCATCGAAGACGACTTTCGCTTTTCTGCACACAGTCGTGCCAACTGCATAACTATATGTACGAGGCCTGACGGACATCCGCACAGTCCGAAATAGTCCCACTCTTGACCATCATGCTTTGACAGCACAGCCTTGGGGTATGTGTAAGGAAACATGCAGCCTTCCCTTGAAACTAAACTAGTTATGGCGTCCCACCTATAGAGAACCCAAGGTTAGTGAGAAGTCATAGCTAACCAGTGAGGTGAGATTCATAACTACCACGTGAGAATTGCTACTTGAGCTGTTGCCCTCGCAGATGCGGCCCATATTTCAATACCACCACAGGCTTCAAGAAGACCATATGCACCCAGAAGATGTGTGTTCCAGTTTCCAAATGCGGACTGGGTTTCCTAATATATCAACTGTCAATCAGCCCAATGCCTGAGGGCTAGCAGGTATAACTAACATCTAGTGAGAATAAGATAATGACTGTATCAAGCATAGAGTAAACGTCTTCTGTGTTATTGTACGAGCCTAACTTCTCACGGATCAGTTGAAATGCGGCATGACGATGATCTTGGGTTGATGCACTATGGACATGATGGCCTGCTAACGCCATCACTGCGTGGACTAGGAAGGTTGGTTCCGGCTCCAGATCCTTCCGGTATCGAAACGGGTTTATCTGTAGATCAGATGTCAATGGGATTTTGCAGAACTCTCCATTATCTATTGTTTGTTAGTAGGTTACTGCCGGGTATCTGAGTCCATAGTAAACATACATCGCTCGAGGATAGGACCAAATTGCTGATGAAGGCCATTATATAGTACGCTAGGTGGTATAGAGGTATAATGGGCGCATGCAGGGTCTACTTCTCTAGTAGCAATTGGACTTAACCTTCTATCGAAAGTACCTGTACTCTTCTTACAGAAGTCTAATTATCTATCGGCTGTGGACTTGGGTAAAAGTAAAACTGTACACGGATTCTTACCGTTGTGCTGATACTGGTGAGGTTCAGCCGGTCTATCAATCGAATCCAAATTGTGAGAAGCCTCCTCACCCTGGATCACAGGTGATTCGTTGCAGTGTGTTTCGAATGGCGTCTCGGCATGAGGTGCTGTCTCACGCTCTATTATGGAATGCTCAAAGATAAATTCAAATTGCTGTGGCTTCTCTGCGTCCCTTAACAGTCCGCGTTCGATACTGCGTGCCCTTCGCCTCCTGACTGGCTTCCTAGACAGAGAAAATCCAGGCTGCCAAGATAACCGCATTCTAATTATTTGGTATCTCTCGATTGATTATAAAGTCCGACTATGTACGGAGTACTGTGTTTAGTTCAAGCATCAGAAGATGGGAAGTTGAGATGGATGGAAGCGAGTGCTGCTGTTGGAACCTCGGGTTATGTCTGAGCGCGAGGTGGGTCTGGACTGTGGAGATCGCCGCAACTATGGACCCACAAAAAACTGTGGATCTACCCGCACCCTTCCTAATTAGACTTCTTACCTCTTTTGGGACGATTGCTTGATCTAGACAGTTGCCTCTTTCAGCCGCTATTGCTCGATATCTTGAGACTGAAGAGCCTCCAGATGCTCCTATAAGTCTCCGAGCACGAGATTTACAAGCACTCCCTCCCCAGTGGAGAGCAGAAATTCTTAAATAGTTGAGCAGCCCAACAATACTCTATAAACCTCGTAAGATGACTACACGAAGTTCTCCTGTGCCATGACAGGCACTCACTCTGGCGAATAGAGCTCACGTACATCATTACATGGTCATTCTGCCACAATACATTGCTTCTATCGGGGGATTAGAGAGAGAATACATACCTTAGTATACAATTCGTTATGGGAACTGTGGTAGTAGAGGAGCTTAGAGCACCCCAGAACCCAATAGCAAACTCTCCTACCAAAGGTGTGTCTACTGGAGTTTTGGAGTTGATCTTGACTAACCATATCATGCAGGACCATATCATGATTCAGCTACAGCCATTGTGACCTGGGATGGACGCGAAGACCTCGACGATCCATTCAATTGGCCTCTACGGAAGAAATGGTGGGCAACCGGACTTGGACTTCTTGCAAGTTTTGTCTGCTCTACCAATGGAACCATCATTACGGTTGCTCACAATGCTATAAATGAAGAATTCCATATCTCTGATGTGAATTTTCCTCATTCCTACTGGCCGACCACATCCTGGGGAGTAGGGGCCGCGCTGTTACCCCTTACCTTATTCCCTATAATGGAAGATTTCGGAGTTCGACCCGTGCTTCTCACCACTTATTTCTTCTTTATCTGCTTTCTGATTCCAATCGGCTTAGCCAAAAATTTTACGACGCTTATTGTCATGAGATTCTTTAGCGGCGGTTGCGTTCCGATTATGAGCGATGCCGTTGCTAGTATCGTATCAAATGTTTTTCACGGAGACCGTGCCAGAAGCATACCCATATGTCTTTATGTTACTACATACCTGGTTGCGACAAGCATTGGCCCAGTGATCGGAGCGTCTATACTTCAATTTCTGTCCTGGAGATGGATTGGTCACATCGAATTGATTTTCACAACGGCACTTTTTCCTCTCTTCATCATCGGCCTTCCCGAGACCCGCGGCTCAGTTGTCTTGCGAGCGAGAGCCAAACACCTACTAAGTAAGGGTAAAAAGGTACATACAGCGAATAAGCTTCATCATGATGCAAAATTGTACCAGACTGTCCTCCAAAACGTGCAAAGGCCCCTGTACATGTTGTTTACGGAGCCTGTGGTATTTATTGCAACTCTTTGGGCTGCCTTTAGCCTTGGAACGGTCTACCTATTCACCCAGTCTGTCGAGCTAGTGTACGGGCAACTCTATGGTTGGGATGCTATACTAGCAGGTTATGTCCAGGTTGCCATTGTGTTTGGTGAAATTCTTGGCTGTGGACTTTGTATGTCAACTAACGGCTGGTACTACGCATCTGCTGACCGTGATACCGAAGTTCCCGGCATACCTATCCCTGAGGCGAGATTATATACATCGATAATTGGGGGTTTCTTTGGTGTTACCGGCGGAATGCTTGTATATGGATGGACCTCATACCCTACCGTCCATTGGGTGGCACCTGTTATCGGCTTGACTATGGTGGGGTTTGGAACAACTTCTGTTGTGATAAGCACTGCAAACTATCTTATTGATGCATATAGCAAGTACGCTGCGAGCGCTCTTGGTGCTGTGGGCTTGGTTGAGAACATTGCTATCGCCTTTCTCCCTCTTGCCTCAACAGCAATGTACACAGGCATTGGATTTCAGTGGGCCAGCTCCCTCCTCGCATTTGTGTCTTTTGCCCTTGCTATAACTCCATTTGTGGTCTTCAAATGGGGCAAAGAAATAAGATCTCGTAGCCCATTTATGAAGGAGGCGATTATTGATCGACAGAGAGACATTGTCAGTGTAGCTAGCGTGTAGAATGTATGTCATCAATAACCTTGGAATACTTAACGTACTTAGTAGCTCAAAGTTATTGGGGGCTGTATAAATAAATGAGAGAATAGATATTCATCAAACAAGCAAGTCCCGCCTACGAGCTCCATAAGCATTTCTATGGAGCTGTTCGAGGAGCACATCCGAAGGTCCTGAACAGAGATCCCCTGGAATTCTGATAGTAGTCCACTGGCCTAATCGAGCTTCTTTTATTTTTCCATCTGCCTGTTAACATTGAAATCTCAATCGAGTGATACCGAAATGGTGTTGCCTGTGAACAAATTCTAGTTAAATAGTAAACTAACTTGATTAAAGTGACTTAGTTATTGGTCAAATAAAGTAGTTAGGTAAAATATCTGACCAATAAAAAGTAGCCAAAAGCTAACTAACTAACTAACTAACTAACAAGTTAAGTTGTACGACCTAACTAAATTAACAACTCGTGGAACTGGCGTTTAACGCATTTACGACTTGGAAGAGCAGGGTTCACCAGCTTCTCGCAGGCTCTTCTTCAAGAGAAGGACTCTACATACACTCCCTAGAATGCCTAGGTACGAGGAAAGCCATCGATCTCATCGACACAAATCTCGGTCCCCATCTTCACCTTCCCGTGAGGATCGAGGACGCCCCAAATCCCGCGGCTCCAAGTCACAGAGGCACCGATCTTTAAGCCCGGACGGCAGGGAACGCTCCAGAAGCCCTCGAGGACGGAAATCACATCGTTATAGGAGCCGGTCAGTGGACTCGAGCGACGCATCCCATAGCCGTACGAACCATCTCCGAGAACCGCGTCGAAGAAGCCGTGATCGCAGGCGAAATGACCGGGATGGACATCGATCGCACAGACGCCGTGAGGGCAGGGAGCGCTCAGCTTCGCCGTCTAGGAAACCATATAGGCGCAGTCCTTCACCTCAGGTAGGCAGGAGATCTGATAAACCGCTCCCATCCCAGCAGGACGCATTTTCAAAGACGCCCCGAGACGGGTCTGGCCAGGCAACTCCGGTGGGCGAGAAGGAGAAAGAGAAAGCCAATTACGGGAATACGGGGCGTCTCGCAGCTGATACCAACACTGTTAGATCCAGTGATGGGACAACTTCCATTGTTTTAAAATACAACGAGCCTCCAGAGGCCAGAAAACCTCCAGCCAAAGACGCCTGGCGATTATATATCTTCAAGGACGATAATCTGCTGGAAACAATCGAGCTGGGAGATCGAAGCTGCTGGCTGATTGGAAAGGAAAAGCTAGTTGCTGACTTGCCTATCGATCACCCAAGCTGCTCCAAACAACATGCCGCTATTCAATTCAGATACGTTGAAAAACGGAATGACTTTGGAGATCGAGATGGCAGAGTCCGGCCGTATCTCATTGACCTAGAAAGTGCAAATGGGACTACCGTCAATGGAGATCCAGCTCCAGCCAGAAGATACATGGAACTTATGGATAAGGACGTGTTAAAATTTGGACTAAGTACCAGGGAATATGTCCTCCTGCTCCCGCCTCCTAGCTGATGGCCCAACATACATGTCTTCTCCACCCTCATGAAGAAACACACGGAATAGACAATATCGGGTTCATATAGATGACATAACGTGTTCCCAATTTGCAGCCATGACATGCGAGAAATCATCAACTTTTTGCCCTGACGACCACTATGCCTTGCCAGAGAATTCTTCCTCCTTCTCAGCTGCCTTCTGAGCGGCTTCATCCGCTATGTTGGATGCCTTCCTGCTTGTCTTTTTGGCAGCATCTTGTGCTCCATGTTCCGCATCTTTCGCTGTGGATCCTATGGAATGTTTTATCTTGTTCGTTGCGGCCTCTGCAAACGAAACTTATCAGCCTGCGTCTTAATGCACCAGGGTGTGAGTAATGTGTTCAAGACGAACCTCCTTTCTCGATTCCCTTGACAGCAGCATCTGAAACGAGCCTGTCGGCTGCCTTCAGGGTATCTTTTGTTGCCTCAATAGGACCTTTCTGATGTTGTGGTGATGTCGAAAAGAAGGCACGGTTCAACTGTGTCCTTCTGATTAAGACGGTGGAAGGCTTGATGAAGCGCGAATTGGCAACAACAGCTCTAGTGACAAAGGACATATTGTATAGAATTAAGTGCCTTATATGGGGGGATGGGCGTTAGCCGCTGTGGTTTATTCCAGACCTGAGTGTAGGCTCAAGTTGTTAAACTTACCTAAATGTTCAAGTACTGATGAATATATGATTACGGTTGAAAGATAGAATCTATCTCCTAGGAATCGGAGATCTACTCATCTCTTATATACTTCGTAGTCTACACGGCTCCTCTTCGCCATCTTCTTTTGAGTTGGGTTGCCTTGCTTTCAGCTCCCTGTTTCTAACGTCATATCTCCATCTTTCATACCGGATTTCCTTGCGCGGGACTACGTAGAACCGTCCCGATGGACTAACCTCAATCCCGACATGAATTGACCTGGCTTAGTTTAAGTAGTTCGTAATTATAAATAACAGCTCCAGGTCCCTTACTGGTTTCCATGAAACAATGGTCTTGATAGATCCATGGCGGCTACGAGGGGGTTGTCCTGGCGGCTCAGTACTTGATTATCTAATCACTGGCTAGGCGCGTCGGCAGGATAAATATTTTGGCGGTTAATTGTGCACGGACCAGTAGCTAAACCTCCCGAGGTCCTCAGAACAGACGCAAAAAGGCATTCACAGGCTTCCCCAAAGCCATCAAAAAGATATCAGAGACAACTAAAGCGATGTCCATGGAATGCGGAGTTAAAGGCAGGATCCCTGACGAAAGGAATGCGTCTCATACGTGATGATGATGCAAAATCCCTGTCTCAGAGACCCATTTTCTCACCCAATGAAAACCGTTATATCAGAACGACTGAGCAAAGACTTAGCAGGGGGAAGATATATTTTCGACTGCTCAACTTGCAGAATGATAAGGTCGCAGAAGGTCGCAGCCTAAGCGTTTACCCCACAACGACCCCTCGGACTTAAATCGTACCGTCCTGCATTTCTACGTATTTTGGACCGCAAAACACGTACATTCACTGTGCCCTATGCCTAAGCCAGTCTCTGGAGGACTCTCACGCCGCAAGAGACAAGGACCCGAGGATTGTGTTGGTCAACGCCCATCAAAACGACCGAAGATCAACCGGCGTCCGCCTACATTTTGGGATAATCTATCGAGGATTTGGTTAACGAGAGACGCGCTTGAGGAGCTAGACCGAAGAAACAGCGCTTCTATCAGTTCAGAGCCACCTCGATCCAGACAGCGACCAGTCACACGTCTCCAAGAGAAAGAGAGGCGTCCTCATCAGAAGCTTCCTTCCGGCACTATATACTCTGGTCCCGCGACTTTAAACGATATCAGACGATATTCTAGAGGCGGTGGCCCTGATCTATCTGACCTCAGAAATGTATGTTACCTACATTACTGTGAGCTAGTTCGTATGCTAATGTGCTCCCTAGTTTCCGAACCCTGAACGACTTTTTCACCCAATGAGTACTAATAATCTGGATCGCCGGAAGAGACGTGCAGAATCCCCTTCAGGCTCCGCTGCGGAAGGAAGCAGTACCAATAAGACCGCAAAATCTTCCAGCACCTCAGCCTACAACCGCAATTTCGAACAAAATCTGATTGATAATGGCATATACCTACCTGGATATAAGTATCCTAATGGCCATAGGCCAGCCAAGCCTAATAACTGGGTAGAACTTAATGAACGTTTGGCACAACGTCGATCTTCCCTCTCGCCTTCGCAGTTCACTGAGGATGACTTTGAGGAATTTGTTGATAAAGATATGAATATTCGGAAGGAGAAACCTATTGGCCGTTTTGCTGTTTCGATCATTGAAGGCAATGTTGACGATATGATGACTATGGGAGAGGACTATCCATTCTCGAACCTGGCGCCCCTAACGGATGGTACATTGGTGAATGCAAAGCCAGACCATTTCTTTGGTGCCCGGCCTGAGCAGCTCGAGTCTCGGATTCGCAAGGATCTTAGTTCTTATATTGTTCCATCATCACAGGATTCTCTCCCTATAGTCCCGAACTTCTTCCTTGAGACCAAGGGTCCTGACGGGTCCCTTATGGTTGCTACGAGGCAAGCTTGCTACCATGGGGCATTGGGTGCTCGAGGTATACATAGGCTTCAGAATTTTAAGCAAGACGAGGAATCGTACGACAGGAATGCCTATACAATAACCTCGACGTATCACGGTGGGGCTCTGAAGATCTATACGACTCACCTTGCCCCCCGAGCAAACGGTCGCGCCGAGTATATAATGACCCAAGTAAATGCCTGGAGCATGACTGGAAATATCGAAACGTTCCGACAAGGCGCATCGGCGTATAGAAATGCTTTGGATTGGGCAAAAGAGCAGCGAGAAAAGATTATAGAGGCGGCAAATGAGAGGCTTGCCAGACTCGAGTCAGAGGCTCTCACATCTGAACATGTTTCTGAGCCAACAGCTACCCTGGGGAGCTCTCAAACGTCGGCAACGTCTGATGAAACCGAAGTTCAAGATACTGCATGGAGCTTTGCACAGCCTAATGATGCTGGTGGTCCTGCAGCTTCTAGTAAGTCTGATAGCAGACAAGCAGACCGCCCGGGTGGCAGCTCGCTTGCGAACTAGGACATTTGAATGCGTATATATCTATATTCCTCTACTCTTAATCTCTTGTATATGCACTCCAAAAATCTATGGCTACGTGAGATGAATGATGAATGTGATGAATCTACTGCTATATCAACCCTCTCAACTATAAG